AAATTAGAGTAATGGCATGTTTTATCTGAATGAGCAAGTAGATTTCGAAATTCTCCTCCATTCTTGTGTAATAAACTAGTCAACATAGCTCACTTAAATTGATTTATGGACTGATGCTGGGATTTCCTCACAATTAAATGAGTAAGTCTCACGATACCTGTTGTGACAGCAGGCCCAGTAAAGTTTACTTTTATCCTGAGGCCTACTCATATTATTATGAGCAGTTTTCAAGCGAGAGACCAGATTTGTGCTGACGCCACCACTCCTTTTGATGTTTTTTTTGGCGAATATACGCCTTACTCAACATGACTATACCATGCTTGCGTTTAAAAGAATATAATTCTTTTTAGAAAATAGTCCTTATGTGTGCTTATTGACCGATAACATCTTCATCATCAGGAATGACATTGCTATACTCAACAGCATTAGAATATTATCAATCAAAAACCAACATATCATTAGTGGGTAATTACTCCAAAGAAGTATGCTATTGAAGCTCCATAGTTACTTTCCTCGGTCACCACACTGATCAGCATGGAAGGCTGTCACTTCATGAAAAAGAAAGATGTGAATAAAAACTTGAATTCGAAGAATTCCTTAGTGATTTATTCCGCCATGACTTTCCATTTTGAAGGAACAGTTGTTTGGGAGGAAATCGGGAAATGGTCTCACTGAAACAACCGAAGTTGGATTACCGCGGAGTGCAGATTATTGGGTTGTACAAAGAAGTCCTCGGCTCATCGTCCTGCGACCCCAATGAACCTGTTGTAAGCTTTCGTCTGTGACCCCGTGACAGAGATCATTAGAGCTGGAATCAATACTCTACGAAATAGGTCAACAATATACTAAACCAAGAGAAAAGGTGGCCAGCTGCAATCTTAATCACCTCCTATATTTAGTTTTGTGATCTTAAAGAGGCACCCATGATTTGGTTGGCTACCTCAAACTTACGCTACATGTTTACAAACGAGTGAGGTTAATTCATGAACAGGAAGTGGATTAATTAGCTTCACTTGTCTGCATGCATTTAGAGTACGTTTTTAGGTAGCCAGCCAAATCATGGGATGCCCCATTACCACCACATGAAGATCTATATATAAAAAGTGTTGTTAGGGTTACAGCCTGTCATCTCTTTTTTAGTTTAGTAAATGTTTTGCGCTATTTATTTCTCTGATGATATTTGTCACAGCTTAGCACAGGTTCATCGGGATCGCAAGACGTTAAACGAATGACTTTTTCGTAAAATCTAACAATCCACTTCGCGTCAGTCCTCCTTCGGTTTCCAATGAGACATTTTCACGAATTCCCTCTAAACAACTTTTCCTTAAAAATGGAAAATCGTGCAAAGTAAGATGTACCAACTATTTGTATGTTACATCATTAAATATCTACGCGCTTTCCTCGGCATGGTGAATTTCTTTTCGTTTATAAGTAGATCACATAAGAGCCGTACGCACTATATTTTGTGATTAAAGACTTTTGTATTCTCATCAAGGCTATGTGGAAGTTTATGGAAGCGTCAAGCCTACTCATATGATTGTGGGAAAATTCAACTATCAGTTCCTCATCACCTAAATGAAAAAGTGTGAATTTGTACTGCCGTTTCGTCCTCAATTCTCCTTTGCAATCTTACCGTATGCATTTATTTGACCAGGACCTTAATGGGACGAAAACTTTACAATATACTCTTTATTTCTCCGCATCTCTCCTTGACTGATCTACATCTCATCCAAACAGCATTTCTTTCTCGCTCAACTAAAGACAAGCATACAAAAAAGTTTGCTCAACAACTCACGCCACAAACACATTAATACAGATTAGTTATCAGGGAAATCTAGATTTCAAAATATAGGTAACTTGTGCAAATATTCATATCTTCTTAATGCCTCAATTTTACTTACCTTCTAAATAATGACATATTCTATGGCGACTTTGCAGCGTTCAAAGCAAGCCAGACATCTGCTGAATGACATATTTTGTGTGATTGTCGAATAGGCAAATGTGCACTCGTGAGTATATTATGTATGCTTGCTTCGAAAGTATCAGCAATTCTTGAATGGAAGCTTAGTCATTGTCGGTCATTTAAAGTAAGTTCTTCCCATTGCGAGACGAGTTTTAAGCTCTTGGTCAAGAAGGATATTGCCGTTCAAATCATGGGATACTTGATTAAGACTGAAAATTTGGTATAAGAAATAAGTATGAGGGCAGCAGGCCACCTTTCTTGAATTAATGCAGTGGTACTTTTTTCGTAGACGAACGATGCCCGTCACAGTAGGGCAGACAAAAGCTCAGCACAACTTCAAATTGATCTTCATTCTGGCTCTTAAGAGGCAACTCTATCAATCCCTTCTAACCAAATGTTCCTCGAAAATTTGCCGGTGGGCCCAAGTTAATAATCCTTTTCAACTGACGTTTCTAACAAAATGAAAGTTAACTCCTCATCTACTCCAGACCATCAGTCATACAACCTCCTTCTTCCCTTAAATATGATCCAGTGATGAACGTGTCCTCGGTCATACCACATTAAGTTGTCCGTCTCATTTACGAGTCATACCCAGCTTTCTGGCAGTTTTATTGGCTTACAAAAATATTTCCTCCCACGTTGCAATGCTTTTATAATAAGGGGTCTTGACCACGGACTATCTGGAGTAATGGCAGATGCCTTGGAGACACGATTTCTAGCACAACCTCGGGCTTCAAGAGGGCTGAGCCATGAGTATTTTTTGTTTCTGAAGGGATGACTAGCGTAGTTTTTTAAAAGGTGCGTACTCATTCTGCCAAACCGTTTCAACAGTGATTTCTGTTTTCCCGATTGACTGACTCCAAACCAGTTTGATAAACTTCACTTTGGTGCTGATATTTTGGCAGATGTGGTCACATTTCCAAGAAGCAATAAAGTTAAGATTGTTTTCATTCTTGTGATGGTCGATTCGAGCCTAATCAGCATCTGATAAAGAATGCCTTGGCTCAGATGGGGAATTATTTGGCTCTTGCTCCATAGTTTACGTTGAAAAGTCCTGTTTAGACCTTTTTCTTTAATGCTTGTTTCTCGATCTTGCAATAGTTGCCATGACACGACAGATAAAAGGTCATCATTGATGCACTCAGGGCCAGGACAGTGAGCCGAGGACTTCTACGAGCAATGCAAATTCCTCCACTCCAAGGCAATCCCCATCCGGTTCCCTGTAAGGTTAATTCACAAATTTCTTCCAGCCAAACTTACCTTCAAAATAAAGAGTCGATTTACAATAAATTAGTATGATCTTTCGAAACCGAATTTATCTTCATTTATTAAGAGTATTATGTAATTATACATACATATAATTTGGCATAGAACATTCATATCTTATTTTTGAACTAACAGAGTCGTGGAACGAAAGCCTATGACCGTGACGCATATCTAAATCACTAAGAGTTACTTAGAGACTCAGCTTTTCTTCTTCTTGCCTTAATCAAGGTTGCAGTACAGAAAACCTCAAGCAGTGAAGTCAAATTCAAGGCAAGCTCCGTAACCCAGCCTTTCTTTCCATAAATATATTATGTATATATGCTAATACAGAATATATACATATATGCATATATATATATATATATATATATATTAAAAGAATAAATGCATTTTTAGACTAAACTGTCCAGAAAAGTGACAAGGTGAGATCCCATTTTCTGGACCATGACCACCAGCCATGGCTCCATCAAAGTTGTAGTTCAGAACGCCCAGGACAGTGAAGTAAAACAAGATCATTAATGGATTATTTGGAACCGAGCCTTTCTTCATATATTGTGATTATGGTGCTATTATATATATATATATGTATAATATATTGTAATCAAAACTTAAGATAATATAGCTAATTGTGCACTAAACTTTGCCTAATGAGCAAAGGGAAGAGGCTATTTTCTGTGGCCACTGATGTTAATCATGTCTTAATCAGAGTTGTATTGTGGAGCTCCTAGAATCGTGATGCTCAAAACAACCTCTCCGAGGCAACCTGGGAATCTATTTTGGTCAACTTTTTGTATATAACTTGAAAATCTCTTCGAAACCCAGTTTTCAGGCAGACACCGTTAATGTATTTTGAAAAAGTGTGCAGATAAGATTGGTAGATTGGCTTTACTGTCTTGGAGTAGTGACTTTTGATTCGTGCAAATAAATCCTCGGAGCAACGTACTGAGCTTTTGTCTGTTCCGACGTGGCAGATTTTGTCAAAGCCAGAAACCCTCATTCACGAAAATTCAAACAGGTAGTAAATTAATAAAGTGGCTGGCTGCAATCCTACTTACGTGCTATTACCTAATTATGCAATCTTAACGCTAATTCCTGACGATCACAGGATAGACGAAAGCCCAGTATGAATGAATTTGAATTGAAAGACTGTTACTTGAGGCCCTACTTGCAAAAATACGTAGTCTTAACGACATGGTTATAATCCTCCCTCGGTTTCCGGGGCGCTAATCGACAAATTCGCGCTTTAGAGTAAAATTAAGTTTGCGCCAAAGTTGTCTTTGATTGGATCCTTTTTGTGATCTAATTCATGAAAAAATGCCACAAGGACGAAGGTAATCAGAGAAAATTTTTATTTGAAATCAGGAAATGCAAAAAACCTTAAAATAAGTCTTTCTTAGGGGTGATTGTTTGGCTTAAAGGGAAGACGAAGGGGCTGGGACTTGAATCTGATTGCTGGCATGCCTGCGGAGACGCCAAAATCTGATCCGCCATACTGGCTCGCATTCACTCGGGAAGGTCAGCCTCTTTTGGAGGGCCTCTCAGAACAGGCTGATCCAGAGGCGGCGCCTCTTGTGTTTTCACTGAATCGTTGTAGATACAGAAACCGGTACCAGAAAATGACAGGAAACATTTAGGCAGCCGACTGTACCATCGGATCGGCTCAATGGCACACTGACAACCATGACGACTTTCCATTCGGTGTCGTAGAGGTGGCACCGCTTGGAGTTGTTTCGCTGCCGGGCAGCGTTTTCAAGGGTGAACTGGAGATTGTGCTACAGGAGACGTTGTTTGCAGCGGTTGTTGCGATGGCAACTGCAGCGCTCGTGCTGGCGGCGGAGGAAGACAGCATGGAGGAGGAGGGGGACATCTCCACCGGCGGCACGCGATCGTCTCCAACCTGAAGCTGTTGAAGCTGAGACGGTCTTTGCTGTCGAGTTCGCAGAGCAAATGAATTTGTCCGGCTCAGACCAACTTCAAGAGAAGAGCTGCACGACATCAAACCTCCATCCTCCGTCTCGGCTTCCATTGGCTCCTCGTGTTTGGTCGACGAGTGGCCAATTTGTATTCCATTTCGATTCCAAGGCATCCATTTCTCTTCCTTTCGCCTCTTGGAAGCTTCAGTCTCCTCCTCAGTTTCTTCTACTGCCTTTTTTCTTTCATCACATTCATCTCTGGCGTGTGCTACTTCAGGCTCTTGATAGTCACTTTTTCCTTCGATTTCCATATCGGACTCGGGACAATCATCGTCCTCCATGAGGCTTTCCATTTTTGTCCTCTTCATACCCTCCCTCTCCTCTGCTTCTCCGTCTTCTCCGTCGTCCGATTCGACTTCGTCTCCTTCACCGCATGCCTTTTCCGAGTCATCCCCACAAAGCTCAGATCCAAGCCTGTATCCAAGGCAGGATTTGGCCCCCGCTCGTGTGTGTCGGGTTCCTGCTCCTGGAGTCGACTGGTGATGCACACTTCTTCGCATTTTGCGAATTCTGCGCTCCTGGGCTTGATGACTCCGGCTTCGAAGCCTCCCACTGAACTGTTGGATACCACGTAGGCTCGGGTGTAACATCCAAGTCGAGTCGGGTGGAGACGAGATCGTCGTGATTGGGTCGTCTGTTTGCGGCGTGGCGTTCGGAAGAGGAAAATATGACGACGTAGGGGCAGATGGTGACAGCGTCTGTTGACACGAAGTTAAATTGCTGGGGCTAAGTCGAGCTGAAGCAGCTAGTCTGGCGGCCTGATGAAAAATTTGTCGTGACAACGAATACTGCCATACAGCGGCAGGGTCATCTTCACTCCGAAGACTACGGCTCTCCTCTTTCTTCACTTTCCTATCGTCGACATCTTTCCCGTTCTCTCCAACCTCTTTATCATCAGCAGCATCATCAACACCCTCATCATCAACACGACTTTCGTCATCTTCGTCACCAAATGAACCTGATCTGGCTGCTGTAGGAAGCATCATTGATCGAGGATCATCGGGAGCTGAGAGTTGTCTTTCTGTGACCAAATGTCTGGTAGACCCTGTAGAAGCTCCTGAAGGTTCAGGAGAGATGGTAGCAGCGGTGGAGGTGGCGGGTGCGATGGTAGGGGTTGATGAAGAGGAGGAGGATGAAGAGGAGGATGAGGAGGAAGAAGAGTAAGAGGAGGGGGCGGCTGGAAGGCTAGGTCGGGCAGAATGGCCCCCAGCAACAAGGGCCGAGTAATAGTCGGGCCATTGGGCGGCAAGCAGATTGAGGAGGGCTGCAGCAGCCGGACTTGCTGTTGACACCGCGGCCGACGAAGCCTGTTGGCTAGTCGTTTTGGAAGGAGGACATAATTCGTGGCCGGATGAGTCGCTTTGTTGTTGGTGTTGTTGTTGTTGCTGCTGTTGGGACGTTTGTACACGACGTTGCTGAGGCTGGCCTTGTAGCGGAGCCGGCTGACGAGACTGGAAATGGAGGCTTTGGGCATATGGTGGCGCCAGGGGAGGAGAGTAGCCCGGCGGCCGGGTTGCTGAGACCGCTGGAGGAGGTGTTGACGAGGCGGTGACCGATTGAGACAAGTTGAGCCCGCTGTGGTGATGGCGATGGTATGGCCGGCGATCATAGCAACGCGAGGTGGTGCCACTTGAACCAAGGTTGGTCATGGAGACGGTGGCGCCGGTGATGGCTGGACTTGTCGACTGCCTAGTCTGGGCGGTGGTACTGACGGCTTGACTGCCAGACTCTCTGACTGGCGTCTGCGAGACCGGAGATTGAAAGTGGCCCGGACCGCCGGGCCCCAGGACTCGCGGTTTTGACTCATGGCCCAGATTGGTTGCATGGCGAGAGGGGCCGAGTAGGCGGGTTTTTCTGGCGCCGCCTGTGGCACCGGGGCTTACGCTACCTGGTCAATTGAAAGGCATAGCAATGCAAGTTCGTGTAAACGGTTGGCCTCAGATACCGTGAGGATCAGAAGAATGGATAGAACAACATGCAAATTTATCATTTTATTTGTTGGCAGCAGAATTCGGCTCAAACGATTCTGGGCTATACCATAAAATCGCTCATTGTTTGAGTAAAAGTTGGATTTCGAATTAATGGTGAAATACCTGGAATTCCGTTTGAAAAGGTTGTCGTCACTTGTTCTTACAACAAATTCAGGTTTACTTGACTCGTCACTTCAATTTAGTTGAAAAGTCGGTGCCCTTCTCTACTGTGCCTATCAAGCGACACAACAGAGTGGAACTAATCGAGAAATGGGGAAAATTCATACCATAATTGATGCAGAGGTATCTGTTATTTTATATTAGATTTTTAATAAACATAATTATCCTTCTCTCATTTAACAGGAGAACTCGACTCAAACAATTCTAGGCTTACATAAAAATCCAGCTAAAGCGGGCTCTTGGATACGAGGAGAAGCTATATTACAGACAATCCCTTTGTATAATTGATGGAGATATACTTTTCATTCCGTTTTAATAGGTTGCTGCAACTTGTTCTTACGACAAATTCAAGTTGCATTTAGCTGTCACTTCGATTCAGTTGAAAGAATAGTACTCTGTTCTGATTTGCCTAGCAAGTAGCATAGCAAATGGAAACTTATATAAAAACTAGAAACTGTTATCCTTATTTGTAAACAGGATAACTCGCCTCTGACGATTCTGAGATTTTAAAAATCTTGTTACCACCGACTTTTAGCTACGAGAATAAACTGGATTTCGGAGAATTCCTTAACAGGAGTGATGTTGAAGTTCATTTCTTTTCATTGGAAAAGCCTGACGCCATTTGTTTTTACAAGTAAATCAAGTTTTCTTGGCTCGACAGCCCGATTCAGTTGAAAAATCGGTACCTTGATCTGATTTTGTCTGATTAAAAAATGAAATAAAACTTGCTTTTGCAGAATTTCTTAATAGAAAATGACATTGAAGCATCTATTATATTTGTTTTGCTTTTAATATGCATAATTATCATTCTGTTTTTTAACATAAATTTGGCTTGTTTACCAAAATGTTATCTCATCCAGTCTTAACTTGAATGGACTACAGTTTTATCGGCAATTCCGTCGCAAGGCAAGTGTGACATTCAAATCAAATCAAACCTCACCCAAACCACATTTATAGTTGCAAATTTGATCAAATAGGCTACTTATTTTCGATGTAAGTAGTACCCAAACTATCAGTAGTGGTTGAGAACAAGGTGGTTTTAAGACGGATAGTTTAGTTGAGATGAGTAGTGGATTGGTAACCTCATTAAAACTATGGATAATCCTACATCGAATCCTGCTTTGGGCAGTGCAGTCCACACTGGCCGGGATGAAACAACTTTTTGAGAAGCAAGGCTAAGTGAATCGCGATGGTGTCGCAAGGTATACTCATTCAATTGTGGGAAAACTCATCAAACTAGCCGTCTTTAAATCAAATTAACTCGCCTAGCTTGACTAAATTCTTATTCAGGCATTTATGATACTCTCGAAAACTAGTTGTACCAAAGTACTCTCCCTTGTCGTGTGTATTTGTGCGACACCCTTCTGACTTGAGGGCAAATTGCGTTGGGCAAGAGCCGAAAATTTTTCCTACAAGAGCACTAAAAAGCCAGGCAATCGGAACAGCCGACAGAAGGCTACTTCGACCGGGTGGGCATAGTACACACTGCCGCCAAGTCCTTCGGGCATAAATGGATCAACTTAACTTAGCTTGTCCAGGCTGACATGTCGGTTCAGCAACGCCCAAGGCGATTACGTGAAACCATCGTCTCATATTCGATGTGTCCAGAGCTCAGCTCACGACAAGTTTGGTTGGTATGGCCTAATGAAGAGGAAGACGAAATAATGGGGTAGGTTGGTGAGCTCTTCAGCCTGGACTGCTTACTGACTTTGGGAGATTGAGAAGCGGAGTCAAGGCATCCGGGTGGTTGTCAGGTTTACTGCTATCCACCATGACAATGGGATTGGCGAGCCATTCTGCCCGAAATCATAATTGCAATTAATGTCCAGCACACCTCAGCCTTCACAATCTCCCCTCTTTAGCTGCAAACTCATTCGGTCTTTCTGCCCTACTAAAATATTCCCAACACTCCGTCCTGCTGCTTCTGTCGCAATGACCAAGTAAGGCTTCAAATACACACTAATACATGATAGGCAAAAGCAGATGATCACGCAACTTGGGTCTATGTACCAGCCTAGTCCCCTGTCCGGCCGTCCCGTTCGGTTGTAAGGGAAAACTACTCGCGAAGACGTCCCACTTCCCCCAAACAGGCCCTCTCAACTGACTGCGCTTCCCACTCGGCCGAAAGCCCACCCTCGTCCCCCAACTAATAATTCGCTCTCAGTCTTTTGTTCTCACGTGCCGTTCTCTACACTCCTTTTCTTTATGCCTCAATGAGTTGGTACTCTTCAGGACCTGGTTGGGCGACCCTCCTCTTCTCTCCTCTCCTGATCGAGTGTCGGCCACATGTACACCCTCTAACCTGTTCATCAACTGGCCTCTCCCTTCTCTCGCGCTCTACTTCAGTTTGTCGCCCGTGGACATCTACAGGATAATGAGCCGACTTCGGATCGAGAAATCAAGTCGAGTGTTCAGACGACCCGAGGCCCGAGAACCATTTCACCTCACACTGCTCTCTTGTGCGTGAGTGTGTTTAGATGGATATTAGTGTGTATGTGTGTATGTGTGTGTGT